TTTACATAATTACTGTAAGGTGTAATTAGAAATACTTTGTTACACCTGAATAATGGATTTTCTAGATAAAATTCAAGGTGTTATTTACACAGTCAAAAGCTTTGATAATTGATTCTTCAGAGACTGCTCTGTTCTCCATTCCCAAGAGTAATCATGCATGTACTTTTTTCAAAGCATTTGCATGTGTTATAACCATGCATAGGTGTGTATAGTGCCCCTAGCTTATTCTCATAGTCATGTGAAATTGCACTGTGAGTTAGGCAGTCAGAGAGGCTGCATGCTGAACACAGAACACAATTTTCTTGCTCTGCCTGGTTGTAGTAGCTGAATGTAGTCCAACACTGAGCTTCATGAGTTTCTCTTCCCTGCTGCTTTATGGAAGCTATTTGCTCTTGGTGGATCACAAACTGTTTTGATTGCAGGTTCATAGGTGTTAGTATCCTAGAGTTGGGGAGGTGGAAATTAATCTTCTTAGCACTGTTTTTCAGAGAGTTTCAATGGAATTACTCCAATCTGCAGTATCAATACTGAATGTATAATACAGAAATATACTGCTAATAGAAACCATGTTACACCTCTATAGATTTTACTCATGTTAAGGAGAAATAATCCTGTTACTTTATTTGTTATTTTAAGCATGGTCTTTGAGTACCTACATCCCTGCCAGTTTGTCCAATCATGCTATAAGAAGGAGGCTACAAATCATAGGATCATAGAATCATTTGAATTGACTATTAAAGGCCATCTAATCCAACTCCCCTGCAATGAACAGGGACATCTACAGCTAGATCAGGTTGCTGGTCCAACTGCCTGGTCCAACCTTACCTTGAATGACCTTGGAGACAGGTCATCCACCACCTATCTGAGCAACCTGTTTCCAGTGTCTCATCACCCTCACTGTAAAAAATTTCTTTGTTATATCCAATCTAAATCTTTCTTCTTTTAGTTTGGAATCATCTCCTTTTGTCCTGTCAGAACAAACCCTGCTAAAGAGTCTGCCCCTTCCTTCCTGTAGCCCCCATTCAGATGCTGAAAGGCTGCTATCAGGTCTCCCCAGAGCTCTCTCTTCTTCAGGCTGAACAGCCTCAAATCATAAAAATCCAGAGAAAGATTCCCAGTAAGACTCTGGTTTAGCATTAGAACAATGTCATTGTGTTTGACCACTCTTACATTATGCTTACATTTGTAAGCTAAAAAACAGGCTTTTCTTAACAGTCTTTCCTATGATAACTTCTGTGACTGGAACCTGACTTGTACTAAAGGAGGTTGATTGTAGAATGTAAACATAAATACAACAGTGGAAATGGAAGGGGCAGAAAGACCATTATTATATTTAGTAAGTGCTTATGGCTGAGGTGTTAGTATTCATGTCCTGTTTTGTTTTATTTTCGTGAAGATGTAGTGGAAAAAGTGGTGTCTTAGGTCATTCCACTGTTTATCACTGCATCAGATCAAAGGGCAAAGAATTAGGTTTGTGTTTTCAAGGAGGAGATTGATGCTGACACACAGCTGTCCTTTCCTCCTCCTGAACACAACTTGTGCATGTTTGCAGATTGTAAGCTTGACCCTGATTAGGATTTGTAAATAAAATTTCTATTGTCTCTAGTCTTTTAGTGTTTGCTCAAAAGCAATCATCAACTTTGGCTAATTATTTATTTTTTCTTCTGCAGGAAGAGGGGGGCAGGGTTACCCATCTATGCATCTGTTTGCATTAGTAGCTTTAAGTCTAAAAATAAACAAGTCTCACCCAAAAACAGTGTTTGGCCCTCTTGAAGAAGGGGCAATGTATGCTTTAGCATGTATACCTTAAGAAATAAGCAAATTGTATAGACTAAAAAAAAACCTGGAGTGGTACAGTTTACCACTTAAAAAACAAACAAACAAACAAACAAACAAACAAACAAACAGTATTTTTAGGGATCTGCACACCGCACAAATACTTATTTTTAACAAGAACATTACAATTTATTTTTTTTTCTTTGTAATCCACATTTTCTTTCATCTCTTGTTCTGATGCTTCAGAAGATTGAGATGGATGTGAGAAACCATCAACTACTTGTGTGCTGATATGAAAGGTTAAAGAAGGTTATCTCAGAGACAAGGTGTGTACTCAGTCTTTTTTTTTTTTTTTTTTGACACACAAGGCAAAATTAGTTACAGCATGACAAAATGCCTATGGGGCAACCTGCTGAGCTCTGATCTGTCTTCTGTGTCAGTTAAGGTTTCTAGCATGGAGTCTACATGGAAACATAAATAGCTAAGGGGGAACAGTAGAGATAGCTTCAGGACAGTCTAGATGTGATGCTACCTGCAGCCCTACACAATTGTTGTAGAGTCAACACACCCCAGTGGAAGTGTAGGGGGGTAATGTTGCCATTCTGACTTATGGAGTGATAGAACATCTACAGGCACCTCTAACTGTGAGTAGAGTAGGCTGTATGTCTGTGCCCTCTGGATTTCCTGAGATTTCCTTCCCTTTCCTCTGGCATGTTTTGCTACTTGCACAATACAGAGGTCAGTGTTAAGAGCTGAGGAGGCAGCTGTGATGTATGAACAGTCACTTGTTTGTGTGTATTTATATGCATGTGCATAAAATAAGCATAAAAATACACATCATATTGTTAATTACAAGTTATTCAGTGTTAAGATTACCACTGTGTCCATTCTGAGACATGCAATATCATTTTGTCTGGATCTTCTCCTCTTTTCTTCTTTTTCTTCTTTTTTTTTAATTTATTCAATCTTTTTTTCCAGTCTCTTTGCAGACTTTTAGTGCAAGAATATTCAAAGCATAAAAAGCAGGATTGCTTAACTGGAAAACTTATAGCATTGTTTTCTCTAGTTAATTTGCTTTGAGTAGAAAATCTGCTCACATAGAATCGCTATCAAGAGTTGACATGATGTCTGTGGGCGGAGATGCGATCCCTGTCCTAACCACGTAGGTTGGGTGTCTCAATTCCTTTATGTTATGATGTTATCACATGTAGTCTCTTGTCGGGGGAAGAGATACCCCTATCATCTCCAGAGACACAAACTGTTTTAGTTCAAGAAAGCATTAAGAGGCCCACACACAGAACTTTAAAGTTTGGAGGGAATGAAAAACCCATCTCGTGTTACGCACCAGAGGAAATTCTCCGTGGGGTATCAGTAGGCTCTCTACTACCTCCCAGATCTAATTCTTTTTTGGAGTTCTCTAATGAGTCTCCTTGGATTGGTTACTCTTTACTGAAATTCCTGGGAAATGTTTCAGTCTGTTCTTTCTTCATTTCCTCAAGCAGGCTGGTGGGGTTCCTTGTTTATGTAAATCGTGGTCTGTCTGTCTTAGGACAGTTTCTTCCTGCTGTAGCTGCTCAGCTACGCAAAAGGACAAATGATTACTCAGAACTTCCTGGAAAGCCTCTTTTGTTTGCTTTAGACAAAAATATTCGGGAAGTTCTTCAGCTATTCCAGCACAGCTACACTGGCATCAGCCTTTGGATCCTCCAACTGCACTCACTGCATTTTTGGAAGAACAGATAAAATCATTTTTAGCTCAGTGTGAAACCCAAGGTATGTCAGCGTTGTTCCATGCATTTCAAATGCTGAGACTATTTTCAAGAGCTCCCATGCCTCAGCTAATTGAAAAATGTCTCCTCATTTGTTGAGGTGGCAACATGACAGTCAGGCTTTTCATCCTTTCCCACTGTGTCTGCCACCTTCGGACTAACATGTTACAGCTCCAGGCCCAAATTTTGCACCTCTGAAGCTCAGCTCCTGTTTCCACACACATTCTCTTAGTAAGTTGGTTAGTCTGCACTCTGTTTCAGCCACTTTCTATGAGGTACAGGCTCAAGCAGCTTAAGTATGTGTACATTAATGGAGATTTAAGAAGAAAAATAACTCAAAAGGTTTGACATGTAGATTCTTTTTAGTCTCATAACCCACAGTGGCTCATTTCAGAGCACTTGAATCAACACAATTAGTTTCACGTGATGAACATTTTCTGTGATGTTGGGTGATGGAACATCCATCTTAACATCTTTATATCTCGATGCTATGTTTCACTCAAAGCCATTTATGGTCAGAGGTGTGCTGGTATGAGTAAGGGAGCAGTGAGAGACCGTAGTGTGTAATCTGTGTGTAATGTTTTAATGCTCCAATAGCCGTCACTTACTGGTATCAGCCGTTCCTTCCTGCTGCGCCTCTGAGTCCTCCACACCTACACAGTGAGACAACTATGAGTGAGAAGGAGGTCCACAAAACCAAGAATTCAGATATTGCCCTAAAGGTGATAGATCTAAATAAACAAGGGTAGCCATTATTATGTGAAAGTTCTACTGACATTTAAAATTACTTGTACAAGGCAGAAGGTGTAATATTTTCTTTGGTTAATACAAGTTCTGTTAGCATACTGGCTTCAGCCACTATCAATCATATCACACTTAAAAAGTTGATTACGAAGGCTCTAGAGAAGGATGTACCCTGGCATTGTTTGCATGAGCTCGCCCAATATTGTTGTTGTAGACTAAATTTGCAGTCAGCTCTTTAGTTTGCACCCTGTGGCTGTGTTCCCTCCCCATGAAAAAAAGTTGAATGATATGGGAGCTCACAGACGGTGAGGTCTCCACTCAGGTTCATCAGCAGGACTGACAGGTGAGACTCACAGCTGTTACCTCTCTGGAAGCTCTGAACCTCACTGGAATTATGAATGTGAAAAACAGTGTACATTTCAGAATAGACTCTAATGATTTCCCAGAAAAACAAAACAAAACAAGGAAAAAAAAAAAACACAACAGTACAAAATCAATGCTGAAGAACTTGTGCTTCTGCTGCAGGAACCACTGTTCTTCAGCCAGGTGAGTCTCACAATCAAATACAATTTGGTAGCACCTAATCTAAATGCTTCAGGGCTGAATTTCTTTCCAAATTGCCAATATATTTGTAAGGTTGCTCTTTTGCACTTGCTCATGCATGCTATGCTCTTTAGGTAGGCGATTCATTTGTTTTTTATTCCTCCACAGAAACAAGAATGCTGACAGAAGATGAAGCAAGGAACAATAGCTTCATATTCAATTCAGGAAGAGTGAGTTGTTTTGTTTTTTTCCTGTTCATCCTTCTGGTATGTCAAAAAGGCCTGCTTCACAAATACATGGGACTAGACAGAGAGTAAGTGCAATTTATAATTTCTATTGTTCTACTGTCCTTGCTAATTCTAGATCTCTGTCTTTTCTCTTTGTAAGCAGATCCTGGAAACTTAATCCAAAGTATCACAAAATACTGAGTTGTACTGAAACAGCAGTTTACTGCTTGGGACAAAATATTAGTCAAGGATGAAATGACAACAGTTAACAGAACTAAGCTTGACCTGCTTTTTAGTTCTCAAAGGTCATCAAAACTGGGTCATAACTGGAGTTCATGTAGAGCTTTCCTGGTTTACAGTGCATGAAAGCAAATTCAAATTCTACTTGGCAGGTGTGCATAACATCAAACCTGCAGGCTTTAGATTATAGGGGCCATTTATATGAAATTATTCTGAATGATTATTGCAGGAAATAAACTAAAATTTATGTGTATCCTCTATGTTTACAGAACATTGCTGCCAAATTATAGTAATTTATAGCCATTTTAAAACTGACTTTGAGCCCCACAAATATGATCACAAAGCTTATGAAAACTAGACAGTTAACACCTTGCTTGCTTGGGGGAAAAAAGTGCTCATTTCGGCTCTTTTAGTGCAAAATTTGTAACATTATTTTTCTTGGGCAAGTTATAAATCTAAGACATCATAGCTTTTTTTCACTTCTATGTGTTGGGGAATGTGACATCCTTCTATAGTGCAGCTTTCTAGCCATGAAGTTTTTGAAATTGTGAGATGATTATTATTTTGGATCCTTAATCAGAAATTAGTGAGACATTAACATTCAAAGAATGACAGTAATTATGTACTAACAGGAAAATGACCAGAAAAGGAAAATCTGTAGTAAGAAATATTGCATCCCTGAAGAAAACACACACAGGCTTTGAATGCTTATATTTTGCTGAGCTCCATCAGTTTCCTGCAGTCATTACAACTAAGAGATCAGGTATAAGCTGTTTTCAGGCATTCACAAGCTTTGCTCTGTCCTTGCTGTTTGCTAATATAATCTGCTGTTCTGAGAAGGGTACACACACATGGGAGAAAAGAGTACGTCTTGAATTTGGTAGGGCAGGACAAAGTTTGCCAGCTCATTTCACATGGACCCCTTCACAGTATGATAGTACTCAGAGGGTAGCAACTTCATGTCTACTAATATGGATTGAATTCAAACTAGCAGACCAGAAATTGAGTGATTTATTTTCCTTTACTAATTCTTTCAACTAACCCATTCTCTGTTTCCTGACTAGATTAGATTTGTCATGCAATATGTCTGTGGCTAAACGAATATGTATGAAGTGTGCACCATTTGTTTTAGCAACTGAGCGACTGGTTATGCAAATTGCAAGCTGGAAACATTTTCCACTTAGGCAGATCTGCTTATGATGTTGCCTTTTTTTCCCATTCAATTCTTGGTAAGCAATCCTGCTAATAGGTATCCACTCGATTTGTAAGAAGCAATTTGTTTATTGTACTTCTGAATTGATAAGAATTGATAGTTTGTTCAATAAGTCTTGTGGTCATCCAGTCTGTAATTCAGTTACCTAACAAGCACTAGACTAAGTCTCTTCCTTACCTGGCTGTATATTTAATAATTTTTTTAATTATTAGCATATTGACTTCCTTAGGCACAGCTTATTTCCACACACAGTCTGTGAGTATTTCTGCAAATAACAGAAGCTCAGTGTTTCCATGAGTAGTAACCACTCATCTTCATGTTCCTGGAAAAATAGCCAGGGGGGAATGAAGGAGGCCAGAACAAATTACAAGCGGGAATGCATGAGTGTATCTGTAGCTATTATTTTCCTGTTGTTTTGCTATTCTTAGAATTTCAGTTGTATGCTTTTTAAAACAGAACAGACTTAATGAGACAGAAGGACAAAGGTAAACACCTAACAGCTTTGGTGACAGAAGCATGATCTTCTTTAGTTCAGAGTTCAAAAGTTATCTGTTGGGCAAATATTTGAACTACCATTTAGTTTGTTTCTGAGGTTATGAAAGAAGAACTGCTGAATGCTTTACTTGTAATGGATAGGTTTAAAGCTCCCCAGAAAGTCTTGGTAATCCAGCTATTCAGTACTAATTGTGACTAATTGTGACACAAGTTTTTTACTCTTTCCTAGACAGTATTTCAATCTAGGATGAGAAGAATTTATTACAGTGTGTCTCAAGAAATGGAATCTAAGTCATGCTTTCTGAGCAGAAGCTCTGTAGTATTTCCTTAATAGCAATTCACCTCAGGAGACTCCATTTCGTAGATTTGAACTTAAGTCTTTTGCAGCATGCTTTATTGATAATCTGATAAGTACAAAATAATGTTTCTCCTCCACTTTTCTGTGTTCCTTGTGTGGGAGCTCTGCCAGTAATGCAAAAGAGTAGTAAAGACCCCAGATGGCTCAACTAAGAAACACCACTCACTATGTTTTGTCAGTTCTCTTAATTGTTATACATTCACTGTAAAACTCTCTGTCAAAAAAAGAAAAGATTTTGAATTACCACCAATCACAGCTGATCCATTGATTAAAGATGCTAAGATTTTTTATGCCATGATATTAAATTTGAAATGAAGAATGTGGTACTTCTAAGCAGGAGGAGTGCTAGATACGCACTCAAAATTTGCAAAATACGCTCAATACTGAACTCTGGTTGGGAGTGTGAGAGGGATATGTGCCTAATTCTGACATTTAATCTCACTTTCCTTTGAGTTTTCTGTTCTTTCTTCTCTATGCTCTCTGATAAGACAGAAGGACTAGATTTTTCATAACCAGAGGTGAGCTACAAGGGACAGGCTCTGCAGTTTTTTTTCTGTGTGAAGCAGGGTTTTGGATAGCTGGCTGTTGATTAATACTGCCTAAAATAATGATCTACTTCTTTAGTTCTTCAGATCTGTCTTCATTTCTGTCCTGTAAATCTCCAGATCTCATGGAAATATATCTGAGCGCAATTCTTTTTTCTTGGACTGTTCTGGCACAGATATTATGCTGTCAAACAGCTGGTTTGATTTGTATGGGGAAAGAGCAGCTCTAAATTTACTGTGTGGGCTTTTTTTTTAACGGACTCGCCAGCCTACTCTTGTGCAACTAAGGCTTTTGATTCATTCTGCCACTCAGTGGAACTGCCTCATCGTCACCAGTGTTTGACATTTTACAGTTCAGTTGAATTTCCCAAAAGGGGAGGGGAGAGGAAGGCCACTAAAATGGATTTTCCTGCTAAATTTAAGCACCACGTTGGTTGGAACAAGTCATTGCCAAGATCCAGCAGCTGCTACTACTTGCATTGCTAAGGAGAGCAAGCAGTGGAGACCACTGATACTGTTCAGGTGAAGAAAGAGAGGTGCAGCCACGCATTGCCCATGCTGTTTTTGTGGAAGCCAATCAAGTGTTACTGGTAACTGAATGGCATTAATTTCAGTGCCTGCTACATTGGAGGGACATCAGGCATGACAAGAGCAGCCACCGAAGATAAGATCCTCACAGAGAAGTTGTCTCTTGGCCAGATGTGCTGATGTGCTGCACTCCAATGAGATCTTTCTAAACACCTCTCCAGGCATGTTTTTGTTTTTTCACTCCACAAGTGCCTCTGACTAGACCTCCTACAAAGCAGGAACGTTCTCTAGCACAGGTCCAAAACAAAAGGGAGGAAAAACTGTGGCCCTTGCCTCTAAGAATTTTTTTGTTCAAATATTTTCTCATTTTTAAAATTGGCTTTCTTATCCATTATATCTCATTATCCACTATATCTGACTTTACATCTTTAATACTTCCACAGCTGTAACTGAGAAGCACATATGTTATAGTGTGCTTGCAGTACATTCAAATAGTACTCTTAAGCAGTTAAAATAAATGCTGGCTAACTGCAGTACCAGTTCTTACAGCACCTTCACATCATTCAAACACATTTTCAATCATGTTATATTTGTTGTCTTTTTAGTCTTTTATCATCCATATAAAAACGGTGAATGGGTTGCATTGTGACTGTTGAAGTCTCATGAGGGCTTTTCAAAACTGCTTTATTAACAGAGAGGTTTTCATCTTTGGGTTCCACGTGCAAGGAGGTAAGGAATTCTTAAAGCCCTTCTCCAACTGCATTGCAACTGTTTGCATCACCACTGGTTACCTACTGCCTGGAATAACATTCCTTCCTTGACCTGGACTTGGAGCTTTAGTTGTATTTGTCATACTTGCAATTATTTCTAAGTACTTTTATGCTGTGTTTAAATAGGTATGGAGATTTTACATTTCTGGTGAAAGGCATTTTCTGTGTTTGACTCCACATCTGTTATAGGAGTTACCTGAGCAAAGGACAAAACTATTGATTTGATAATTACTTCTTCCATCAAAAACAATTACCCTTCAGCATCGAGTCTTAAGTTTTTTTCTGCTTATAGACAACAGCCAAGAAGTTTTCTTAAATGTTTCTTTTTTTCTTTTTTTCACTTTTTTTTTTCTTCTTTTCCCCCTGTTCAATAAGAAGCTGTAGGAAGTCTAAATGACAGTTTTTTTTTTTTTTTCTGTAAAAGGTGGAGGACAGAGTTAATAAAAGAAGCAACACTATCTGCAAACTTTTGGAGAAAATAAAGCTAAATTTCAAGAGTAACAGGATCAATAAGGGGTGTATTTGTTATAGTCCTTGCTTGTATTCCTCTCCACAGATTATCCTGTTTCTTGAGTAATTATAGACATTAATTTAGTTTAATGATTTGTGTATAGATCTTGAGAATAAGGAGTACCATCCTTAGAGAAAGTGTAACCTGTCATTAAGTCAACGTGCCTTAAAGAACCAAGTCTTCTAGGGGAGCAGGCAGTGTCCCAATCACACATAACGTATTATACCAACACTACCACCTACAGGAGTTCAGCAAAAGGGATGTGGCACTTAACAAAATGCAAAATAAAGCAGAAATCAAGGCTTTTCCAAAGGATGGTCTGATTTTTCTTAATATCCAGGATTTCTCATTTACCAGTTTTTTTTTCTCTTGAGCAACCTGTCTTTTGGAGTAAATCTTTAGCTATATCAAGAGCTATCAAGATAATTCTTGCCTCATGAATCCAAACACAGCTGTCGATGTGTATAGCCTTGTTTTGAAAAAGGCATTTGTTTTTGCACTGTAACAAACAGTGCTAGCAATTTGGGTCTTTTTCTTGAGGATTTAAGTGTGAGCTTATGTGATTTAAATTAAGACCTCATATATGTCCATAGTTCAGAAGCACATTTGTAGAAGGACTTGGCTTAGGGAAATGTGCAAATTATTGGTGTTGGTTTATAGTTAGGGATAAGACAACACCAGTATTTTAGCTAGTGTGGTCATTGTATTACTTACACAGATGTTGTATCTATCTCATTGCTCTGCTGTTAAGCTGGTGTGAACAGAAACGTCTAAAAATTTGTGAGGGAGATTTTAAAAAATACATCCTCACTTGTGGTATCTTCCAGTGGTATTGGACTTTGAGGGATTCTGTTTCCAGTCATCCACTACCACAAACTATTTTACCTCCATACACAAAACTGTGAAATGGTAGCTTTGCAAAGTATTTGTGCTAAACCTATGGCATATTGTTACTTTTCCTCCCTTTAGAGGAGCTCTGCAGAGAGGGACCTGGGTGTCCTGGTGGACGACAGGTTGGCCATGAGCCAGCAGTGTGCCCTTGTGGCCAAAAAGGCCAATGGCATTCTGGGGTGCATTAAAAGGAGCGTGGCCAGCAGGTCGAGGGAGGTGATCCTCCCCCTCTACTCTGCCCTGGTAAGGCCTCATCTGGAGTACTGTGTCCAGTTCTGGGCTCCCCAGTACAAAAAAGACAGGGATCTCTTGGAAAGAGTCCAGCGGAGAGCCACAAAGATGGTGAAGGGCCTGGAGCATCTCCCCTATGAGGAAAGGCTAAGTGAGCTGGGTCTGTTTAGCCTTGAGAAGAGAAGACTGAGAGGGGACCTGATCCAGGTCTATAAATATCTAAGGTGTGGGGGGCAGAGTGGCGAGGCCAGACTCTTTTCAGCAGTGTGCGGAGACAGGACAAGGGGAAATGGCCAGAAGCTGGAGCATAGGAAGTTCCGCACCAATGTGCGCAAGAACTTCTTTACAGTGAGGGTGACGGAGCACTGGAACAGGCTGCCCAGGGAGGTGGTGGAGTCCCCTTCTCTGGAGATATTCAAGACCCGCCTGGACGCCTACCTGTGCGACCTGGTGTAGGGATCCTGCTTTGGCAGGGGGGTTGGACTCGATGATCTCTGGAGGTCCCTTCCAACCCCTACGATTCTGTGATTCTGTGATTCTGTGATTCTTTATCAATTCATGTTGGTTATTGCTAGATGGAATAGATGAGCCATAAGTAACAGAGAAGTTCAAATCTGCATCTTTAAAAGAGAGGATGACAGAAAAGTGCTGCATTCTTGTCCTGGGCGGTACTACACTTCAGCATGTACTCAAGCCCAGTTTAATTCAGTGAAGTTTAGCTAGAAGGAAATGTTAACCAAATGTAAAAGGCAAGGTTACTTAATGCCCTGTGGAAACCACTCTTCCAAAAAAATGTGACAAAATGGCAATTAGATCTTCCCTATCAAAGTAATCAGCAAGAAATAAATACGTTGAGATGTGGTGACTTTTATCCTGAGTGCTCTCATATCCTTGTTGGGATTTTAATTTCCTCTGCAGGCTTGCAAGAGTCAAGTTTTTGAGATGATACCTGGTGAGATTAGCACCAATTGCTGTATGTCTGTGTATTTTTATCACCCAAACTAGTTGGGAACTTCATTCCTGTTTTTGCAGGAAAATTTCAGGCTTCATCCATTGGTGATGTGACCTCTAGAAGTATACTGACTTCCAAAACATTTGGCCTAAATAGGAGAACATCTGGATGGAGTTAGTCTGATAACTGTGAGAAAGCAAACTGAGGAGCTTTACTTGCTTGGTGACTGCTGTACATGGCTGCATTTCCCAGATGGCTGGGACATTTTCGATCAAGGTACTACTCAGAAAGAACATTCTTATTTTAGCAAAAGGAAGTTAAAGATGCCCAAGGAAATGGCACATGCAAGTAATGTATTTATGTATTTAATCAATATCACTCATTTTCTTTAGCTTTTCTGTGCTGACTATACTGCTTTCAGATGTGGAGGTAAAATCATGAGAACTTTTAAACTGTTTAACAAATGAACTGTGGAACGAGGCACTAAAAATCTGCTCAAGGAGGAGGTAGACATTTAGACTCAGATGTTGAGCTGAGACAGATAATCGAAGCTCATAATAAAACATTAGAACAGAGAAGTAAAACACACTTGCCCAGAATTGTTCAACAGTACTTCCTGTCAGCTCTGAGAAGAGAGCATTTATACCAAGGGATAGAATATAAAGTTATTGTTTGCCATCATGACTACACCGTCTTAAGTAGCTGCATTTAGCTTCAGAATGTTGTATAAGCCTGCTTTCACACTAATGATACAGCTATTGCTATGAAGTAGTGCTCAGGAGGTTATACTACAAGCTCTGAGCAGTAGCATTTAGGAAGCATGTCTTAATTAGAATTTCAGACAAAAGCAGACTACTAAAAAAAAAAAAAGCAAAGCAGTGAAAAAGAAAACCACTGAAACAATTGTCTGAAAAGCCAGACATCGAAAAATGTCATGCAAGTCTTGGTTCTTTCCCAGTGTCCTTTGGGTACTTAGCCCTAATATTTTCACTATCTTCTTTGTATTAAACCTTGTGAACTACTTATGACACCTAACTGAACAGTGTCAGTATTAATTTACCTGTCCTTGGTGTTGAAAACATATTACTTTACAGTATAACATGGATTAAAAAGTTATGTTCTGCTTTGATAAAAGTAAATGTGTTTACTCAAAATAATTAAAACTGTGCAGCAGAATAATAATTACAATAACCTTGGAAAGTCATCATGAAAGTTTGCCATTTTCTGAAAATAACCTCCTTTTTTTCATCTACCATGATAGAGGAAATACATTTTTTTAATAGACATGCAGATAACTACCTTGACTTCTGAAGCTTTTGGTTAGATAGGATAGTACAAATCTGAAATATCAACAGTACTTCCAGACATCACACACTTCATGTTGCTATTGAAATATTTTCTATACCTTATTCTTAAAAGTAGTTCACTTGAGCAATTACTTATGTCAGTATTTTACAAGTAGCAGAGCATGCAAGGACGCTTGCATTTGTGTCAGTAATTACATGAGTGTTATGCTTTGCTTTCTGGAATACAGCTGATGCATTCTACTTCTGATCTGATGTTTGCAGAATCGGGGCTGAGTAAGCTTTCCTCTTTTTTTTTTTTCTTTTGTGTGTATATGTCTTACCATAATTACAGTAGGTGAATGTTGGGTGCACCAGCTCTGTTCGAGTTTCATCTTTTCAAAAAGGCTGAAAAACAATTTTCAGTCATTCTCTAGCTACTTATGTTAAGATTGTGACAATGAGTTAGTCAAATACCTGATTTCCTTGAGGTCTCTAAAACTGACTTTGAAATCAAGTAAGAAAACATCCTCTCAGCAGCTCTTTGGGTGTAATTTGCTCTATTTGAAAATATAAGCATACTATTTTCTCTTGATTCCTCATGCTGCACTAAGCTTTGTAGAAGAGATTTTACCAAGCATCATTTTCTCTCTGTGCTGATGAACTCATCAGCTGGCTTGCTTTAATGCTCCAACGTGACTGTGCTGGTGAACCTCAGCAACCAGCCAGAGACATTACAAGGGCTCAGAACTGGTCTGACAGACTGCCTGAGGGAGATTCTCTGCCCTTCTTACAAGGCCTGTTATGCTGAAGAAATAAAAAATGTGTCACTGTGCCTTTGGTATGATTTTATCTTCAAGCCTGTCTTTTTGCTAAGTATTGCCAGAGCTTTCAGTTGGTTTCATAATGATAGACAACATCAGTAAGGGACAGTCTGAGTGACAGTTAAATATAGTTTATATGTACACTAAGGCAGCATTCCTTGAGAAGTGGTAAACCGAAGAATGAAGGCACTGTCTCAGAAAAATGTGCTCCAAGTTGCTCGTACGGAGCAAATCTGGTTGAAGAAGTGGCTCTAAACTGTGAATTTGGAGGGTAAGCTAACTCTCAGCAGCTTATTTCTCTTTGTCTACAGGGCTCAGTGTTTCTGTGTTAAGCTTTGCATAATAGCGAACAGCAATGCATGAGCTTTGCCTGTTTTCCCAGTAACATTGCAGCAGGAACACCTTTCATATCAAAAGCTGGAACTGACTGTAATAAAATGATCTAAAATGCGGCCTAATTAGCACAGAATAAGACCTTGTCATGCATCATTTGCACCACAGGAATCATCTGTGTCCATGCATTTGGATAACGCACTCAGATGTAGGGTTTGGATTTTGAGTGGTCCTGTGTGGAGTCAGGAGTTGAACACAATGATCCTTGAAGGTTTCTTCCAACTCAGGACATTCTGATTCTATAACTCCATGG